TTCTTTGCCACCAAAAGAGGCACTAGGTCTTATTTTTGGGGGATGTCATCCATTGACTAACCTCACTTGCGCGAGTCGCCCCCGGCCTCCTTTTCACTGTCAGAGGCCTTCAGGAACTTCTGCAGATGGCAAGGCTTTCCTGAAGGCCTCTACAGCCGATAACAGAGCTCTGAATTGATCCGGAACTTTGTTATCAGTTACAGAGACCTTCAGGAAAGCCTTGCCAGCCTTGCCGGCTGCAGAAGAAATGGGCTGGCAAGGCAGGTGTCTGGGTGTGCGAGGCCTGGCTACAAATGTCCAAAGGTAAGTAGTAGGGAAGCTCCACCCCACCATCCCCAACCTAGCTTAATTTTTATCTGTGCACTCTGGAGTGGGTGGGATCTTAACTAGGGCTTATTTTGTGGGTAGGGCTTTTATTGGGCACACATGTAAAAATCAAGCTAGGGCTTACTTTCGGGGTAGGTTGTACTTTTGGGGAAACACGGTAGAATTGCCTTTCGGATCCTACATTAATTATTACTGCATGATTGTTCTGATGATTAATGCAAATTAGAAATTCTGGAGTGGGCGGGACCTTAATTAGAGCTTATTTGGGGGGGTAGGGCTTATATTGGGCTCACGTGTAAAAACCAAGCTAGGACTTACTTTCAGGGTAGGTCGTATCTTCAGGGAAACAGGGTAATTTTAACCAGAATTTATTACCACATAGAGAAAAAAGGGTATCTCTTAATTATTAACTGGAAACCAGCAGGGATTCTAACTTACCTTGGACCACCATGTCTGAAGGTTAGAGATTCCCTTAACAGCTGTGGCAAGAAAGTCATAAAAAGGGGCAAAATTCACTTAACCAATGTCTCGCTTGGCAACAGAAATGTTGGGCTCCATTGTGGTTGTAAGTTGAGGACTATTTTAATCATTACCCAGATTTTTTGGGAGGGGGGAGTGTGGGATTTCTTGTGTGCTGTAATTTATGTCATGGGGACATTAGGTATGTAAATTATGTAAAAGAAAGGGGGAGGAGCAGGATAACGAGAAGGGGGAAGAGCAGGAGAAGGAACAGGAGAGGAGGGAAGGAGCAGTAGGAGGAGCAAGAGCAGGTGAAGGGGTGCAGGAGCAGGAGGGCGTAGGGGGGAACAGGAGGAGGGGAAGAGCACAAGGAGGGGAAGGAGGAGGAGCAAGAACAGGAGGGGGAGGGGAGAAGCAGCAGGAACAGGAGGAGGAGAGAAGGGGGAGGGTGGGGTGGAGCAGGAGGGGAAGCAGGAGCAGAAGGAAGAGCAGGAGGAGGGGAGGAGGAGCAGGAGGAGAGGAGGGGAAGGAGGAGGGGGAGCAGGAGGGAAGGAGGAGCAGGAGCGGG